GAATCGGGGTTCATGGGGCCTGATGCCATCGGGTCAGTTCCACCCCACTGCGGCCAAGCTGGGAGCGAGGAGTTCGGTTGTGCCAGGGCTGGGCGAGCGTGATGGGTCCCGGATGATGAGGTGGATCCTGCGTGTCAGGAGGGACCGTCCAAGCCAGAGGAAAAGGGCTCAAAGCCCGAGTCAGCGCCTCTCTACATCGAATAAAGGGTGAGGAAGGAGGTGAGGACCACTGCTGGAGGCTGGTTTCTCCCCACACAAAGGTGACACACGGGTCCTGGGCAGTGGCACAGGGATGGAGCACAGAGCTTGGGCTGCTCTGAAACAGGGAATGAGGGGACAAAGGGACATGGTGTGGGCAGCTGCGGAGGACAGCCCCGAGCCCAACACCCCTCCTAGGCACAGAGCAGCAGTGCACAGGAACACGACTTGGTGCTTGCTCTGCTTTCCTCACCCCTCCCCATGATCCAGAAACCATCACTGGGTGCTGCTGGGGCATCCCCTCCACGACTGCCCAGTGCAGCCCCCTGCTCCCCACACCCTGAAGTTGAAGAAGAGGATGAGGACAGGACCCAGCTGCAGCCAGAGCAGCAGATCAAACCAGGAGCAGATGAGAAGTACCAGAAGATCCTTCCCCTGCCCTGCTCTGCAAGTCACTGCACTCAAAGCAGCCAAGAGCTGGTTGTTAATCTTCAATTTAAGAGAGACGATGGAGGCTGCGGGTGCTACAAGTTCATACAGGCTCTGAGGAGAGACTTGCTCAGAGCAAGGAGATCCAAAAAACCAAAATAGGATCCTAGAACGGTTTGGAAGAGGCCTTAAAGCTCACCCAGTTCCAACCCCTGCCACAGGCAGGGACACCTTCCACTAGAGCAGGTTGCTCCAAGCCCCTGTGTCCAACCTGGCCTTGAACACTGCCAGGGATGGGGCAGCCACAGCTTCTCTTGGAACCCTGTGCTAGCACCTCAGCACCCTCACAGGGAAGAACTGCCTCAGAGTGAGGCTCAGGGTGGAGGAAGAGACACAGGGTCACTTTGCTCTTCACTCCATACACATACCCAGTGCTGGAGGTGGCTGCCACGGGAAGGCTGCTCCTCAAAAGAGGGGATAGTGGCGGGGATGTCGCTGTTGGAAGCAACCACGGAGCCAGATTCCAAAGTTCTGTATTTTTCAAAATAAAGATCACACGTTGTTTAGAGACAATCTACACAAGAGTTACAAAAAATAGTCGCCCAGGCATAAGCATACACAGGTTTGTTAATTATACACATATGGTTACAAGTGTGCTTGCAAAAAAGTTCATTGGAAATATACACAAGGCTCTGTAAATGTACACCGTGTAGTGTTACAAGTCTATATTCAAACAAGGAAAATTGACAGTATGTTACATTCACTTACAAGTAGACAAAATGCAAAATACAGTTCATCTTCTGTACAAAAAGGGGAGGTGATTCACACTTTACAAGGTGAAAAGGGGCTCTGATTGTAAGGAAAAACCAGGGGGAGCTGGAACTTCTGCACTTCTTGTTTCTTACTGTCACAAAAAGAAGCAAAAACATTACTTTGTAAGAGTCAAAAAAACCACTATTTGGAACTGAATCAGGGCGGGGGGGGTTGTAGAACATTTAGAAAGGGTCGCTACCGTCCAACGAGGTGACAAAGAAAACCAAGCATTTCTTTTTACTCTTTTTGCTTTTCAACATTAACTAGGCTGTATAAAGAGAACATTTCCTTCCAAAGAAAAAATTTACTTCTGGTTGAAATTACAATTTACAATATACAACACTATATGCTACGACCATAAAAGGTGTGAATATACACTGAAATGCACAGGTTTTGCTAATTCTTTTTTTTTTCTTGTTTTCTTACCAAAAAACGGGTTTTATGTCGATTCAAACTTCTCCACATTTACATTACAGAGGTTTACAAATGTACAATTGTACAGTCAGAAGTATGTTCCACTACTAGGGTACATTATAGATACAGATCAGACATCAAAACAAGAAAATACTACAAATTTTTATATATGTAAAGTCTACACCAAGTATACACTATATATTTATAGAAGCAAGACCAAAGCTGAGTTGGATTTTGTTTTGTTTTCCTCATGCTAAGTAATCAAATGGTGTCTCTCACTGTTAACAGAACCAGGTACACCCGCCCCTGCGTTTAAAACCTGTTGGGGTGTGCATCTCCTTGCCCCCAACCACCAGCTAAACTACCTCCTTCAGCGTGTTCTACTCCACAAAAGAAGAGGGGGGGAAAAAAAAAGCAATTAAAAAGTTTCAAAACCTTAATTCTTTGTCTGTTTAAAACCAAAGCTTCAGTGAGTTGATTTCTTGCCACACATTTATTAACAGCATCCAAGGCTGGTGCCCTGGAACTAAGATTCGACCTTTTTGTGTTGGCTCAAGTTTTGACTAAAAAGAGAAAGAAACCAACCCAAGAGGGATTTGCATAAAGCTGCCCCAAGGGCAGGTCAATTAAAAACTGGGGTTTCTCCTGTTTGTTTTCTTCAAACCAACCACCCTGAAAGTTTCCACAATTGGAATATAGATACAACAGTGAACAAAAACGTGGCCTTCCATGTACATTGGATCCCTATGTACAAGTATTCTATACACTGGTAAAACAGCAGGGCAATTAGTTAATTAAAAAAAATAATTAGTACATGTTATGCATAATAAAATTAAAGAAATTTACAAAGGCTTTTCATGTTTTTTTGTGTTTTTTTTCTTCTTTTTCTCTTGTTTGTAGCAACCATTAAACCTTTTCTGCCTGTGGACTGGAATTGTGGCGGTTGCTGGTTGGCGGGGCCCAGGGTGCTGCTCCCCGATGCACCACCTCAGATGATGCCATTTGGGGGACCACAAATAGGCCCCAGGTCCACCCCGTTCTTCATGTAGTATTTCTCCAGCTTGGCCAGGATGTGTTTGCCATAGGTGTACTTGCGCAGGGTGGCGATGTGAGGCCGGATCTGAGAGGGGAAAGAAGAGAGAGAGAAGCTTAAAGGACATGAATTATGGTCATGGCAATCCTGGGGGAGCTCCGGGTGCTGCTTAGTCAGGAGACCAACAGACCACAGTGCCTGGAATATTCAAGTGCTGTTTGCTGTCATCACATTAATCAGAGTCATAGAGTCCCAGACTGGTTTGGGTTGAAGAGACCTTAAAGCTCCTCCAGCTCCAACCCCTCCCACGGGCAGGGACACCTTCCACTAGAGCAGGTTGCTCCAAGCCCCTGTGTCCAACCTGGCCTTGAACACTGCCAGGGATGGGGCAGCCACAGCTTCTCTGGGCACCCTGTGCCAGCGCCTCAGCACTCTCCCAGGGAAGAGCTTCTGCCTCAGAGCTCATCTCAGTCTCCCCTCTGGCAGGTTCAAGCCATTCCCCTTGTCCTGTCCCTACAGTCCCTTGTGCAAAGCCCCTCTCCAGGTCTCCTGGAACCCCTTTAGGCACTGGAGCTGCTCTGAGGTCTCCCTTTATCATGCTGCTGATGTTCTCCCGGCCAGTTTCAAAGGAACAAGACATCAGAGCAATTCATTTTCCTTACTAGATGAGAAATACCACACACCATCAGCTTGTTCCCTCAAGAACACAATTACAGAGGAGTTTTTACTGTGCCCTGTGCCAGCTCCATGCAGATGGGATGAGGAAACAGCCAGAACGCGATGCACTCCTCAAGCAGCACAGCACCATTACCTGCCTAAGCCAGGACCAACCAGAACATTCCCATGGGAAATCCCCCTCAAACTCAGCCTATTTCACCAGCTGTTTAAACTCGTCCTTTCCAACCCAAACCAGGCTGGGATTCTGCGGTACACACTCACTTTTTCCCAGGCTTCCATTCAGCTCGTAGCTGAGCTCTTCATTTGCAGTCAGTCCTATTTAGCTGTCATCCCAGTTCTATTTTTGACAGCCACACTGATAATCTGATTAGCATTTTATTCAGAAGACTTTGCTTGACAGGGAAGAACATGTCAGTAAAGATCATCTGTATGTTATTCTTTTAATATACACATCTATAGATGTAGACCAGCAAAGCCACAGGTCATTCTGTTCAACTGCCCTTGCCATGTATTTTTATTATCTTTATAATTTCTCTTGGACTAATACAGATTTTGGTTCCAAAGAACTACTCTGAATGATTCCTAAACTGAGGAATTAACCTCCCTGAAGATTGTTTCAGCTGCAAGTGTGGTGTTTATCCACTGATCAACTGCCTTGTATAGGGAAAAATCATCTCCCTCACGCACATAATATCCACTTCTTTATACAGAAATCACTTGGTCTGTTTTCCTCAAGGATTCTTAAGTACACTTGATTTCATCGGGATGTGAATACCTGACACTTTTCACAGTTGTTCCTTTTATAAATAAATAACTATGGGTTTCCCAAGCCAGTGTTAGTATTTCATTTCCAACAAGAGGTCTAGCTGTATTTGGTATTCTTTACAGAGTAACACACCCCAACACATGTGACTGCAGAAAATCAGCTCAGTTCCACTATACATCCAGAAGCCTGGGTTTTCCCCTTCATTACAAGTAGTAAAGACCCACAAACACGACCCTTAAAAGCAGGAAAATGAAGCTATCACCTGATTTTTAGCACTTCCTGCCCCTGGGGCAGCAGGTGAACAGCCCTGGGAGGCAGGACCAGCAGCAATGCCTATTTTAGTCCATAATGTCTTTGTTTATGACAAATACGAAGCCCTGGAACTGTCAGGCTTCAAACCCTGCAGCATAATGCTAAACTGTGGCAGTGTTCAAGGCCAGGTTGGACACAGGGGCTTGGAGCAACCTGCTCTAGTGGAAGGTGGTTGGAACTGGAGGAGCTTTAAGGTCCCTTCCAACCCAAACCAGGCTGGAATTCTGTGAAGTCTCTCGTCAGAACCATATTCAATACTGAGGAATAAGGATTTGATCAGGGGCTGCAGGCACAGCAGCCGCACAGCAGCACAGTGTCACCAGCCAACCAACCACCCTAACAGGGCTGCAGGGCAGGGACACGAAGGGACAAGGCTCGTGCTGTGGGTGTGCAGAGGTCTGGTTCAGCTGCACCAAGCTGCTCTCATCCAAGAACACTGCCCTCAGAGGGGACAAATGTGTTGCCATCACCAGACCTTCGAAGGCCACTTGCCAGGCTCCAACACTGCTGCTACAGTGAACACTGATGGGTTTTAGCAGCATTTGCTAGTTAGTTTACTAGGTTACTAGGTCAGCAGAGACTGCTAGAAGCAACCAGCTTGTTTTAAGTCCAAATGGCATCTCATTATTTCACATCTTCATCTTCCAGCTACTACCCAAAGTATATAGATCGTACATACACAGCTTTGAAACAGCCATCGTTAGGAAATGCTAATGGCAAAAGCAATCCTGAGGAGCCCTCTACATTACCTTGTGCATGACAATCTTCCGCTGAGCTGGCTCTGCCACATCAATCATCTTCTGCACCACGTAGTTGGCATACTGATCTTTCATCATGGTGTATAAGGCACTGTGAGGGCCGTCGTTCATAGTGCACACCTCATCGATCAACATGGCACGCTCCGTGCGGGAGGCGTGAGTGACGCACTTCTCCACCACGTTGCTGTAACAACAAAAGGAGGACAATCTGTGGGCATGCAATGTCTCCACTGGGATTCTCCTCCGTCCCCAAGGAGAGCTCTTACGCTGCTAGCAAGGGCAGACCATTTGGAGCCACTCACTACAAGAGAGAGATGCTGGAGCGGGTGCAGAGAAGGGCACCGGAGCTGGAGCAGGGCCTGGAGCACAAGTGTGATGGGGAAGGGCTGAGGGACCTGGGGGGTTTAGTCTGGAGAAGAGAAGGTCAGGGGGGGACCTTACCGCTCTCTACAACTGCCTGACAGGAGGATGGAGCCAGGAGGGGACTGGTCTCTGCTCCCAAGGAACAAGGGATGGGACAAGAGGAAACCGCCTCAAGCTGCCCCAGGGCAGGTTTAGATGGAGCTGAGGAACAATCCCTTCCCCAGAGGGTGCTCAGGCATTGGAACAGGCTGCCCAGGGCAGGGCTGGAGTCACCGTCCCTGCAAGTGTTCACACCCCGGGTAGACGAGGCCTCAGTGCCAGGGGTTAGTGGTGGCCTTGGCAGTGCTGGGAATGGTTGGACCTGATGAGCTTAAAGGTCTTTTCCAACCTGGTTGATTCTATGTGCTGGCACAGTAGTTCAGCAATTTGGAACAGAAAAGCCGTCCAAGGAGCTTGGGATCCAACTGGGAATTCGGGTAAAGGCCTGTTTCAGGTTTTATTTTACTCATATTTGTACAACTCTGCAGTGACGCTGTGTTTGGGATCAGCGTCTGTTCTCAACGGGCCCATCAGAGAAGCAGATGAGTTGTTCTTTGTTTGGTTTTCTCAGTGCTGGATCTCGACAGGAACAGAGTCCCAAGGTCAGAACAACAGGGAAATGCTTATTCAGGAACTTAAGATCTTAGCAAAGGCAGAGAACTTCCAAAATTCCTTAATATATTAGATGACTGGTCTCTGCTCTCCGGAGAGCCACATTAAATAGGATACATGAAAGGGGATGAGGAGTTTTCTAGCCTTATCTTCCACATCCTTGGAATCACAAAATCACCAAGTGGTTTGTTACAGCCAGTGCTCAGCTCAGGGGACACCCTCCACTAGTTAATGCTCCATCTGGAAAGAAGTTTAGGACTTAAAAGAGCAAGGCAAGTCAGGGAGGAGGAATCTGAATACCAACATTAAGACCACTCTCTTCTAATTCTTAATGGTACACTTCCCTTGTGTCTGCAAGTCTTAAAGCTCTATTTCACTAACCATAAAAAGGGGGGGAATGTTGAGCCTTTGAAGAGCTCAGCCTTCATGTTCCAAAGGCCAGAAACACACACACAAGGAATTTACAAACGTGGGAAGTACAACTTTGCCTTGACATTCCACTAAGGTGGATTTTGCTTCTACCCACGTGTAGCTCTGTAGTACATGGACAAACAACCCCAGACTGCTGCAGCTTCCCTAAGAGGGCATCCTGCTGCATGAGTCTCTAAAAGGACTGCAAGACTTGGCAAGTAAAAAACCCAGATTCTTCCATGAAAAATGAGATGAAAAAAGCATTGTGGCTACATGGATTTCCCAAATTCCCTTTGTGGCTTGACCCAGCATCCCAGGAGCAGTGAAATGCTCCTATGGCACGTTACCAACCAAGGGATAGTGACCACTTAAAAACCAGCAAACCAATAAAAGCCAACACACAGCAAAACTGATGGTCAGGTTCAGGGATGGGATTAGAGCTGCTCCTCCACGTCTCCATCCTCCTTCATTACAAGGAAAACTTACCTCGCCGGTCACTCATCCCGATTTATGAGCAGTTATAAATAGCACTCTGTTGTGAAACAAGAAGCTCTTTTCACCTCCCTGCACCCCACCCCTAACTCTTGGGCAACTCCAGCATGTGTCCATGCTCCCACAGGGCGTGGAGACTTCAAGGAACAAATTCATACCTAGCAAATTTATGTTGACTCAACACCAGCACGTTGCCTCTAATTTCTGCTACAATCTTGCTCTTATCCTCGGGCCGACCATGTTCTAGTACATGCTGGATAACATAGTTCCCATACTGATCCTGTTTGAGAGACAGCAGAAGGGTGTGACAAAAGGTGGACAGGAACCATTAATACCAAACTAGTTCCCACCGTGCATTAAGACTTACAAGCTTGAACTAAACACTACTTAAAATATCTACTGTATAAATCAGATCAATATTTTCTACTTCTAACAAAAATGTGCATTCTAGAGTTTCAGCAGGGGGTAAAATGCTACATCTGTGTATAAATTACAACATCAAAACACTGTCCTTGAGCATGAAATGTCAGTAACTCAGCTTATTGCAAGTTTCTTTGCTTTCTCCAGGCTCAGACACACCAAAGTACACGTCCTTGGAGGGCTGTGCCACGGTTCTAGCTATGGGGGACTGCTCTCATGCATGTTCATATTGTGAATGTGTGTGTATTCAGATCACAAAATAAGTGTTTTCCCAGTTGACAGCACCAGAGGCACGACCTGATGCTTCCCCTCCATGCCCAACCTCTTCCCACTTTCCATCTGCTAAATACACAAGTTTCCATGTGCTAAATACCCAGGTTGCATATGGGACAGGCTCATTTGCTGTTCTATCCACTGTGCCCCAGTACCAGGATCCATGCAAAACAAGTCCTCAGGAGGACTGCAAGGAAGAGGAAAGACAGCCAGGAAGGGAGTCTGCATAAAACCAACATATTTTAAGAGCCCAAATTACTTGGCACTTTCTTCTCCTAGTCTTCACATCAACTCCCCTTAGATCTTACCTGCACTGTAATGCCTGGAGTAAAGCATTAGGACATGCACCCACTCAATACTTAACTTCCTTTTCAACAAGGAAAGTAACTACAACTTTGATACTTGATGGGTATTTGCACATAGCCAAAACAATTAATGATGATGCATTTCTTGTCTGGCTTTTCCTTCCCATTCCTCCTCAGGGACAGTATCCCTGTATTCCCACCAGTGTGGCCAGCACCAGTCCCAAACAGGCTGCCAGGAGCTTTCCTAATACAAAGCAGTAACTAAGAAACACCTCATAGCACCTGCATTCCTCCTTCCCACACTGACCTGAACGAGCTGCTCGGTGTGTTGATGAAGTTCCTCCAGGATGGGAAGGGTCTGCTCAGGAAGACAGTGCTCGAGGATCCTCTGGATCACACGACAGCCATATGGATGTGTCGACAACGCGAAAACCTGCGTTCAACAAGGACAGGCAAGCACAGGCAGCAAGACTGCTGTTAGTCTCTGGGAATCCTAGAAACCTTTTGGAATTAAGTGAACACATGGGAGGTTTTCCTGGGAATGGGAGGTAATGCCAGTTTGCAGCTCTGGATAGCGTAAACTGGAACCGGAAGCATCTCAGCCAGGTTACCTGGGGATTACATCCCTACCTGTGCTGCTGCTTGCCCTTCCATCAAACAGGAAAACAAATGCTAAAGCCTCTTGATTAATACAAAGAACACCAGGATAACCAGGCCTTATTAACCACTGTTGCAGAAGATTAAACCCAGCACCCTTTGCCAGCGACGTATTTGAAGCTAATGTAAGAAATAGTATGAACCAGACAAGTTAAAAACGCTCAGCAAAGGATTTGCCTCAACTTTGTGGATTTGTTTAAAAGCCTTAACTGTGCTTAGGAGAAGGGACAACAAAGAACCTTCTTTCTCATTTCTAACGGATTACCAAAGCTGTTGCTAAGAACATGACACATTTTATTACTGCTGCACAAAGTCCCAGTTGATTGCTTAAAATGATTGAAAGCAACAAATCCAAGCACTGAAGTTAAATTGTCAAGTCTACACATTTTAAATAACTATTGAGTAAACTGTGCAGGAAAACAGGATTTGAAGTGTAATTAAACTGCAGAAAGAGAGTCTTGAGGTGATAGGCTTCACCTCCCATATGCAAGTTCAGATGAAACTGGGACAGTCGGTCAAGAACCACCAGTGCCACCAGCCAAGCTCCCAGAGGTATTTTGGCTTTGCCTAATTCCAAAGCTAAACTCTAACCAGCAAATCTGCTGAGCAAGTTTCCAGCTGGAATCCCTGCTTGTTCTGACACAGCCAAGCAAGTCCCCACTTTCCCTGCTGTTTCAGGAGCAGCCAAATGAATAAAGCTGGTTCCTGCTGTAATAACCCCGGGCTATCCTCATATCCCAGTGGCAAAACCCTCAATACTTCAAAATGCCCCTCCAAAGCCAATGAAGCTGAAGTTGGAAACACCCAAACCAGTGCTTTTGTAATGGAAGAGAAGCTGACTATGGGCAGAATAAAGGCAGCTGCACAACTAAGAGCCAGGACATCAGTTCAGGAGGGGATAAAAGAAAAACCAGGAAAATGAAGTGCAAGAAACTGCCCTTTTCTAGATGCAACTCCTGTTTCTCCTCTCAACACAAACCCTTGGGAAGCAGCAGTCCTCTAAGGCATCCTCACAGCCAGGGATCGTAATGGGAGTTTGCTATACCCATCACTAAACCCTGCTCACCACCTTCACTATGAAGATGGATTAGCAAGAGATGTGTTTTCCCCTCCACCAGTCAGAAACACTTGATGTTCCAGGCAAACGGGGTTTTGCAAGGATGCTTTACTGTGATAAACCTGCACCAAAATGGTAACAGAGACATGACCAAGAGTTTCCAGGCTCCCTAATGCTGCTGCATAAACCTTCCAACTGATACTTGCTGAAATGCATTGACAGTTGAACCAGTCACAGCCACTCTCACACTGTTCAAAGCAACACACCAGGATACAAAGATGAGAGCTCAAGGACTTTACCTGTCCCTTGAAGGCGTCAATGATGAACTGCAGGGACTGAGGCTGCACACACTCAATGCATTTCTGCACCACATGATTACCATTCTGGTCCTTCACACACTTGAGGACGTGGCCATCCAACTCCCGAACCATCTCGTTCTATTGGGGAGAGAAAGAGAAACAGAAAGCACCACCAGGGCTCATGGCTGAGACATGCAAAGTCTGCACTGCTGAATGGGCTCATGAATATGAAAGGGATGAAGGATGCGCCCATGGACTTCAAACTGGAAGATCTCCAAGTGGTGAGGTGAAACTCGCCGTGCTACAGAAACTACCAAGATAAAGCCCTTCTTTCATTAAACATGAGTGTCCTCTTACAAGCACCCAAATTTTACTGATCCACAACGATCCCCCATTTCCTCCTCTGTTCCCCTCCAGGAGAAAGAACTCTGAAATGCCCAAACTTCATGAACTTTTTGGGTGTCACCTTCATGCGTGATTAAAACGGGCTAAGAACTTGCTAGTATTTTACACAGCAAGTTAGTACTGCAAGTTAATGAAGGAATGAGCAGATGAAGTTTAGCTGGGACCAATGGAGCACACGTGCAGGCCAAAAGCTTCACCATCAGAAAACAGAGAATGACAGTTCTGGGTAGTCCAAAAGTGGCTGAGTTCAGTTTTGTAGCTGACACAAACCCAGGAGCAGAGGCCTCAAACCCACCATTCTGGAGGAAGCCAGTGGCAAACCCTGGCCATCACCCTGCTGCTGTGGCAGCAGCTTTGCTCCAGCTCAGCCTACAGGGAATGAGTGTTCCTGAAGCCTCGTTCAGTTTTTAATGTAATAACCTACCCTGAGATTCCTGCATCATGATTCCCAACACCTTTATTAGCTGGCTTGCCTAGTGTATTTCTCATCTTAATTCATTGTTCACAAAACCCTTGAGGAACTGCTTTATTAATAAGCTCTGAGTGGGACTTTGGCTATCACCCACATCTCTGTAACGCCAGGCCAGGCTTGACAGGAACTCCTGTATGAGGAGGAATTACTCACTGCAGGAAAGCAGAATATTGACCCACATATCAAAGCAGTGATATCTCAGCGTATACTAAAAGCAGAACCCTGGCACTGCTTCCTTCAAGGGATTTAAAAACATCCTTTAATTCACCATCATTCTCAGTTTCCCCTACATACATAATCTGATTTCAGGGAATTAACAGAGAATCAACACCACAGCCAGTCAAGTGGAATGAGGAGATGACAACGAGACCCAAGAATGGTATCACGTACTTCTCATGCACAGGAAACATGACAAACATGCCATAAACCAAACCAAAAGAACACCAGCCACAAGAGGAACAGAAGGTCGCAGTTCAGGTCACCAATGGGCAAGGAACGTTAAACATCAAGAAGAAAGTTAAAATTGAGACTTACAATTACCTGCTGGTCTGGGGGAATAAACTCCAGGGCCTTCTGGATCACCCTACAGCCATACATCTGCAGAGCCAGGGACAGAACATGCCCACGGATACGTTCTGCCAAGGCTAACTTCTGTTCCAGGCTGCCAAACTGGGGAGATGAAAACCAATCACTACGAGCACAAAACTTGGAGAAGAGAAGGCTCCAGTGAGCAGCTCCAGTGCCTAAAAGGGGCTCCAGGAAACCTGGAGAGGGGCTTTGGACAAGGACCTGTAGGGTCAGGACAAGGGGAATGGCTTTAACCTGCCAGAGGGGAGGTTGAGATGAGCTCTTGGGCAGAAGCTCTTCCCTGGGAGGGTGCTGAGGCACTGGCACAGGGTGCCCAGAGAAGCTGTGGCTGCCCCATCCCTGGCAGTGCTCAAGGCCAGGTTGGACACAGGGGCTTGGAGCAACCTGCTCTAGTGGAAGGTGTCCTTGCCCGTGGCAGGGGTTGGAACTTTAAAGTCCCTTCAACCCAAACCAGGCTGTGACTCTGAAAATCCTCATGTGGCCAAGTGCCACAGCAGCCCTCCCCTGCTGCCACACTGCACTGATAAACTAGAGATACTGTGCCTATGGAAAAGAAGAACACCCACCACACCTCAATGGATGTGAAGAGGCACAAGCCAGGTGCCTGTTCTATGTCTGCCACACATGCCCAACATGTGAAACGAACTCCAGAGTCAAAGGTGCTGGAAGCACTGGGGTGACACGTGCCAGCTCCAGCTCACTAACCCTTGACAGGGTCAATATAAAACTACTGGACAGAAGAGCCACGAGGCCTTGGTGGGGAAGGAACAGCCTCGTTTGAAGGAGGAGAGACGTGCATCTGCCCAACCTCTGGGTGTGACACCACCACACTGCCTTCCAGTACATGCTGTTCACTGGAAAAGTTTCTCTTTTGTTCCTAAACATGAGTACTGACAGCTCAGTGAAAGGCTTTGTTGGACCTGCATCTCCTGGGTATGTTGCTATTTCTTCCTACACTTTCTGCATCTCAAAGCAAAGTGTTAATTTTCAGATGAATCTTTACAAGTCCCACACCTCAGTCACCCCAACAGGAATGATGCAGCAGCCCAAGGGGAGGAGATGACAGATACCCACTGGTTTAGCCAAGTATCAGGGTTTCTCTGAGCTCATCCAATACCTCGGGACAACAGGCAGCAGAGTGAGACTTGCAGAGGAACAAGGACTTACTTCAAAGAACTTCTGGATGACATAATTTCCAAACACATCGACCATCAACTGATAGGCTGCCTGGAGGATCTCGTTGAACACGAGCTGACGTTCTGCTGGGGTTGCACGTTCCAGTTTCAGCTGAATAAACCTGGAAAACAGGGCTGGTGTGATGCTGCTGGCACATACACCCTCGACACATCTGTTAATCCAAATCCTTCCAAAAGCCATGCACACTAAGCTCCTACAGAGCAACTCTTAAACACAGTCACCCTTATCCAGCAATCTGAGCGTGGTGGCAGCCGTGAGGTCCATGGCCACATGTCATGTTGGTACCCCAAAAATCTCCTCATTGCAAGCAAAGCAGATGCCAACAGAGTAGTGCATCAAGGTCTTGTGTCCAGAAAGCTCTTCATAACGAGTTAAGCTATGCCAGTGGGACTAGCAAGCAAATTACAAAGCAAGCAAGCTCCTCTATAGAGGAGGAACTCCTACTACCACCATTGGCACTCTTAAAAAAGAAGGCTCAGAGTGTTCCACCACTTGGCTTTTCACACCTCCTTTTCCCTGTTCTGCCTCATTCCCTCAGGATGGGATGCAAGCTGCAAACAATGCTGACTCAAAGAGCAGCTTTCCCAAAAGCCTCCCCCACAGCAGGAGGTTTTTAAGCCCACCTGGATCCGTGCTGATCCTGGGAGAACTCCATGATGTGCCCAGCGATCTCCCTCAGCTGTAAGTTGGGATAGCGGTTATTGCGGAAGTCCTCGAGGAGCCTGCTCCGACCAGAGGGCATCACATCCGACATCCCATAGCGCAGGCGGGAGGAAGGGAAGAGC